GCAAGGATTAGTCTCCCCAAATCCTATTTTTTTTTTTCCAAATTTTAAATTATTTAATTAATTTTGTCTCATTTAATTGTAACATGTAATCTATATAATCACTTTATTAACTATTTTACATACAAATTTTTATAAAATATCAATTTAACAGGTTAATATGTAATTTTTTTAATAATGCTAGGATGGAATTAGAATATGGTTAGTGATTTTTTTTTTATATTTTTGCTTCTTTTGTGATTGTGCCGTACTCTATCAAATCAAAAAAGTAGACAATGTTAACATGATGATGATGATTTATATATCATGAAAAGGTTTGTTTTTATTTTAACCCAAAAAGAGAAAAGGTCCTGAAATGATTATCGGCAGAAATTAAAGTTGAAAATCTGTCTTAGAATATAATGCTGCTTGATTCTAAAAGCTTAAATGCTGTTAGCCCCTTTATTTTTAGTATGATAAAGAAAAATGCTAATTAAATTTTTTTTAGATACGTGGTTTGGACAAATTAAGAGATTAAATCAGATTCAATTCTAAGTTATTAAATTGTCACTTCAAATTCAACTCAAACCATTCAATTTGAGTATTACGCATGCATAAAATTGTGAACCAGGTTTGCATATATTAAACTTTAAAACAAATGCTATTTAGACCTAATTTAATATTAAATTAAAAGTATACCTCATTTAGCATTAACTTACAACTAATTTAATGATTGTATTGAATTAGATCATTGACTAAGTCTCTATATCATTGCTCTAAACTAAAATTCTAACCCATTCATGATTGATCCTCAAGTTCATAGTTTGAGATAAAGTTCAAGCTCAAATTAGATTGAACACTAATTCACAAAACTGGATTGAGACCTAAACACCTAAGACGTGAAGTATTTATTAAACTTAAATCAAGTTGTAATTTTTGACTCAAATGTAGTTATAAAGGTGATCGAGTTGCAACACTAGTTATAAATGTAAAAAATTTTGGATGCATGCAATGATCAACCAAATCTCAATTCATTGGACGAGTAAAAACAAAGCTCGAACTTAAAATTCAAAGTCGCAATCCTTGAGATCTTTTCATTTGAAGTATATAAATAGTTGGTGACCAAAAGAAAGAGAATCAATGACAATTAATAGTTTGAATAAATTCAATAATTATATAGTAGGATAAATCTTTTAGATAAACCTACATTGACATCCCCTATCACCTTCCCTAGCTAGATCAATCTTTGATGATAGGGCAGAGAAAGAGAGAGAGAGAGAGAGAGCATATATATTATATTATATTATATAGGGTAAAAAGGAGAATATAATTTGTATGAAACAAGTAAAATATAGAGAGACAAAGAGAATATTATTTACACATTATTTTATAATATTAAGACTACAAATAATTGTAACAAAGTTACAAGAATATTTAATCACACTCAATCCAACTTGAAACAGCTTATAAGGGCCAATGAGGTTGCAAGATAATATAACACAACATTGATATAATTAGTCTCCAAATCCATTAAACCGATCTACATGTTCATCAAGCAGGTTCTACCATATATTTAAAAACTTTTTCTTTTGATAAATCACGGAAGTTTTGAGATTAAAATCTTCAAAAACTCTTTCTTCTAGTAATGCAGCTTAAACTTGCTCTATAGGATCTATGTTTACCAATAGTTGATGAATTTTTTACCAACCCAAAAAAAGGGCAAGGATAGTAATAATAATATTAAAAAAAATATTTTTTAATGTCATACTATTTTCTTAGGTCATGAGAAAATATGACGTGTAATGACTTTTTTTATTTTATCATTGTCTTAATTAATTTTAAGATTGATTATAAGTAAATTAAATCAAAGATTTACAATTAAAATTCTTTTTCATTATGCTACTTACATTTTTATATGATATTAATTATAATTGGTCTATATATATATATATATATATATATATACTAGTTATTGTTTGTGCCTGAAGACACAGAGTAATAAAAAATGGTAAACAATAAACATATTTGTATTCATATCTAAAATCAAATCATAAATATAGAAGAGAAATAAATGAATTAAAGTATTGGTTGTAATAAAAGTGAGAGGTGGTGGTGGTAGGAGATGGTGATGGTTGTGATGGGTGACAATGACTGTGGTGGTGGTGGTGGCACCCATGGCAACGACGACGGTGGTGGTGGTGGCGATGGCGACGGCGACGGCGGCAGTGGTAGCGGTGCAGTGGTGGTGGTGATAGTAGCAGCGACGACGGTAGTGACGGGTGGTGGTAATGATGGTAGCGATCGCGGTGGCGGTGGCTGACTTGATCTGAAATATGTACACCCAAGTGTAGACGGTCAAGCTATAGTAATAATCCGGTTAAGTCTGGAGTTGAATCCGCAGGAAACTATGATTGATGTTTTGAAGTGAGCAATGATAGAGACCAAGTAACTGAAAACCTTTAGAGTTTCAAGTTATGAGATTTCCTGAATAGAATATAAAATTCTTTCTAAGAGTTTTCTAGACAAAATATAAGATAAATTCAAATATAAACAGTCACCCTTTAATTCGAGGATCAGAACATGTAGTTAATCATCTAATTTATTATACTTGTGTTTTATAACTCAATTAACTCTTGTGTTAACAGCAAGTTAATCAGAAGATAAAAGATCAATTGTGAGAAGTAAGCACATAGTTCCGATGCCTTTTTAGAAGTTTACAAGAATTGTTTGTGACGAGACTCAACCCGTCTACAAACAAGAAAGTGTTTTTACAAAGCATCCAACTATGGCACTAATGTCCCATTTTTTAGATAAAGCACAATAATGATGAAGATTAAAATGTTATCACGAATATCTAGTCGGGATACTTGCCTTGAATTAACGAATTTTTCTATGCAAGAGTCATCCGTGACATAGAAAGAATCCACAGTTATACAAAATACCTTATCTTTGCTAGATGCATTCAATCATTCATTAAGCAAGTGGAATATAAAACATTAAAGTATAAAGGAAATGCATAAATATAACTTCTGGATAATTTATACATATTCATCACCTCTTACTAAAGAGTGAATGAGAAAATACTCACTTTTCATGGGTTTGGTAAAGTTAGAAAAGTGAGTAATACTCATCTCTCAAAGAAGAGACATAATAAAGAGCCGATTTTCAATGTAAAAACATAATAAACAAAGAGTCGATTTTCAACGAAGAATGAGTGAATCACGTCTCACCCTTCACGGTTTTGGTAAAATTCTAGAAAAGTGGGAGAGTTTTACTTTTCTAAGAAAGAAGGAAGCTCAAGCAATGAAAGTGAAAGACATGAACAATGAAAGTAGAAGAAAGTCAATCACTTTTAGAGAGTTGCTTCCTCAACCAAAAGATAAACTAGCTCCATTGATACAAACAAATATAACATACATCTAAGACTAGCTACATGAGTGGGAGTCTAAGTCTATATCTAACTTTCTGTTTCCCCCCTTTTCAAAGGCTTCTCCAAGGGGAGTATTTTATAAATAAGGAGAAAAGGGGGAAAGACAAGAGAGTGTGAAAGAATAGTATATGCCACCCAAGTCCAAGTGAAAAGCTAACTACTCTGCAGTCTGCTTGTGGAGAACATTTGAACGTGAGTTGGCGTTCGAATGTTCTATATGTTTTTTCTTTATGGACGTTCGAACTTTTCTTCTGTCTTTGCTTTATGGGCGTTCGAACGCCAGATGAGGCCTGACCCTCTCACTCAAGTGACCTGTGGTCTTCTATGGAAACCTATTTCCATACTCTATGCACATCTTGACACTTTGCACTCATCAGTCTAGTCTTCAATTAATTCAAGTGGACGTTCGAGCGTGAGTTGACATTCGAACATGGTACTCAAGTACCTCAGAGTCTTCCTTTTTGGTTGCAACACGTCATATCTTAGTAGTTTGGTTTTCAATCACTCATGTGGACATTCGAACGTAAATTAGCGTTTTAACTACTAATCAGCAACGGTGGCAGTGGTATCAGTGGCGATGATGGTGGCAGTTGGCGGTGGCGGCGATGGTGGTGGTTGTGGCAGCGATGGTGGTGGTGGTGGCGTTGCGGTGATGGCGACGATGGCGGCATTGGTGGTGTTGGCTGCAGTGGTAGCGACAATAGTGGTGGTGATAGAGGTAGTGGTGAGGCGGTTTCAAACACTAATTTTTTTTAAAGTATTTATGAAAAATAATTAATATAAATACTTTTAAAAAATCACTCCAAACACACATTTAGCGGCCTATTTTTTCTATTAAATTTAAGATGTTAATATTAGCCATTATATTAACTTTAAAATAAAATTTAAAGCGATCTGAATCGCAAAAAGTAAAAATCATTTTATTTATTTTTTAAATTTTAATTGTAAACTACTTTATTACATAAATATATTTGAGATAACTCATGCTTGAAGCGTACAATAAAAATAATTTTAAAAGGGACGTTGGTGACTTTTTTTTTGTCATAATGTTAATGACTGTTAAATAAATTTATTTTAAATAATTTGATAAATTTATTAAAGTCTTATCTTATTTTATATTATGGATGACCGCTCTCTTTTAATTACAAATAAACACTCTCTCTCTCACAGCACGTGACTTACTTGGGATCACCTTAATACTCTCTCTCTCTTTCTCTCTCAGCTGTTTCAACTGGGTAATTAATTGGGTATCACTGGAAGTACGTACTCCATAGAATACCTAAGAATTACAGTTGGGATCGAACTCTGCTGCCAGTGGTGTGAGGTTTATCATATCGTCTTCTGTTCAATATTCGGTAAAATGACTCATATTATCGTATTACTGTATTAAATATATATCATCTGTACCTATGAATCTATGATCACATTAGTGTGTTGCACTGTACATATCCGCGGAAGAGAGCATAGTACTTCACGGGCGAGCTCTATCGCCATTTGGATCCATTCTACTATACTAACAAACCCCGTGTCTCTCTCAGCATCCAAACCGAAGCCAGAGTGTGTCTCTCTTTGTGTGTGTGCGAGACACAGAGAGAGAGAGAGAGAGAGAGAGAAGAAAAAGAAATGGGGGAGAAGTAGATGGAGAAGCCGAAAGGATAAAAAGATGATTGCGCTTGTGGCGTTACAATTCGTGAAAACCGCACCATAATAGGCTGAAATTCAGGGTTTTGTTTTACTCACGCTCTCACTCTCTGTATTTATAGGTACTGTTTCTTTCTGCAACTACTTTCGCTGTTGTTTTCTGTATTGCTTTAATGGGTTTGGTTTCTTAGTCAAAAGATTGTTTTTTTTATCAGTTACCTATTCAATTGATACCCAAATGGGTTTTGGATTTTCATTTCTGGGTTTGCTTATATGCTTTTAGCTTGAGGTAATTGAACTGCACTGAACGTCTTTTGAAATGAACTTTCTCTGTACTTTTGCTTTGTGGGTAAGGAAGGAATTCAAACTCATAAGAAGGCATTTTATAATTAGATGGACACATGTAGCTGCTTTATCTTCGCTTTGTTTATGTATTTCAATTGCGCACTCTGTGTTACTAATAGTGGAAATGTTTCTTTTTGTGATTGATACATGGCGCAATTGTTTTTCTCAATTGATATATTTCCTCCTTGGTTTTGTGGATCTAATACGAAAAATTGGGATTAGATCTTGTAATAAGGCATCCATTTATTTTCCCTCATGTTTTCGCTTGTTTCGGTGAACTTCTTCTGGGTGTCTTTTACTATAATTTGTTTGTGTGGGGTTTTCAGTTTGGAAGATGTCGAGGCCACTCCATCGAGGTGTATCCGGTGGGGGGCGATTCTCTGGTAATGGCCATGATTTCTGGGATGACTCTCAGATGAAAGATAAAACAGAGAAGCAAGACATGGACAAAAATTGTTCATCTTCTGATAACACCTATTTATCTGTCAGATTCCCTTTTCGATTTCTTTTTCAGGACAATTCATCTTCAAAACACAGTTTGAATGAGAATGGTTTTGTATATGATCCCTTTAGCCCTGGAAATCTGAGAAGCCGGCACAAATTGACTTTGCTTTTTCTAAAGTTCAGTTTAGTTGTAATTGTGATTCTTGCTCTTATTGGATCGTGTTGGTGGACGATCTCAATAACAAGCTCGTCAAGGGGTCACATAATTCACGGATATAGAAGGCTTCAGGAACAACTCGTATCGGACTTACGGGACATTGGAGAACTCTCCCTTGGCAGTGCAAGATTAAAAGAATTGGGATACTGTTCTGTGGAGTCTGAAAATTTTGTTCCATGCTTCAATGTTACTGAGAATCTTGCCTTGGGGTTTTCTAAAGCGGAAGAGCATGACCGCCACTGTGGGCATGGTTTGAGGGAAAATTGCTTGGTTCTTCCACCTGTCAATTACAAGATTCCTCTTAGGTGGCCCACTGGAAGAGATCTCATCTGGGTTGCAAATGTCAAAATTACTGCACAGGAAGTACTCTCTTCCGGGAGTTTGACCAAGAGGTGGGTGGAAAGTGCTGGTTTCTTTTGTTAGGAAGCAAAATTCTATGAGGTGCTGACAGTCTTTTGGTTTTTCTGTGTATTTGATTGCAGGATGATGATGCTGGATGAAGAGCAGATCTCCTTTCGTTCAGCATCTCTGATGTTCGATGGTATTGAAGACTACTCACATCAAATTGCAGAAATGATTGGGCTTAGAAATGAATCTAACTTCATACAAGCTGGAGTAAGTGGATATTGCATTTTGTGCATTGCTCATTTAATATTTCTTGTTTCTTTACTTTTGTTTCCTTCTCTATAGTCTATTCTACTTTTAGTTTAACCATACCCGTTGATCTTGGTGATTTACACACACTGCAATTAACATAGTTTAGAACATTGAACTAGATAGATATAGTAGTCAAACGATCAAAGTTTGACCTTTTTCCATAGTCTATCTCCTTGTTTTGTTTTGAAGGGAGATATATAATGACCAAGTTATTGGATTCCTCACATCATACTTTCAAGTTTTCTGCAATTATTTTATCCATCATCCGTCCAATGCTTCCCAAATACTGATTGAGGCAAAAATAATAGATGCATCTGGGCATTTTTTGAGGCCTATCCTTGTGATGAATCCCAAAAACTAATGGCGTATACTTTAATTTGTCTTTTCAGGTTAGAACCATCTTGGATATAGGATGTGGTTATGGTAGCTTTGGAGCTCATCTTTTCTCCAAGGATCTGTTAACTATGTGTATAGCAAACTATGAGGCTTCAGGAAGTCAAGTTCAACTAACTCTTGAAAGAGGTCTTCCTGCAATGGTTGGTTCTTTTATGTCGGAGCAGTTGCCATATCCATCCCTTTCTTTTGAGATGATACATTGTACACGATGTGGCATCGACTGGGATCAGAAAGGTACTAGTCGTAAGCTTGTCTTGTTGACAATGATACTTCATGTAGGTTAGATGCATATCTCCACAAAGGAAGCATATACTGACATAATTCAATGCTTCCCCCACACCTCCAATTGCATGCCTGTATCTGACTTGCAAATTAAAATGTAGCACCAGAGTGGTTAAAATGCATGTCTTGGTATTTTTGAGTATTCTTATTCATGTAGATAATACTCTATGCTTTTTCCTTATTTTTTAATATGTAGGTATTCGATATCTTGCACTCATTTCGAATGTTTTCTTCCTTTCTGTCAAAGTTAAAAACTGTAATGAAAATGCATTACACCACCGACCACCCCTATGAATGGGTAAGGTATTTTGTAATGCGAGCCCTAGGTGACCTAAGAAGTTTAAGGCTTATTTGAGTTGAGTTGAGTTCAGTAGACTATCATATGGGTATCTATTCAGAATAGTAAAATGCAAATCTTCTATTTCTATTGGGTTTGATATGCATTTCTGGATGAATGGTTAAATAACATTGTTAAACCGATACATCTGATTATTTTCTGATTTTGTTAAGGTGGATCATTAGTAAGGAAACAATAGATGCCAGTTCTCACTTATCACTTTTTATTTCGGAAATGTTTTCACTTGCCACATTACTGAAGCAATTATTTTGGGTTCTTGTTGGCTTCTTCTTACCTTTGAGTCTGATGACTTGGAGTCTGGATAATTTATATATATACACATATATTCATTATGTCCCTTGGGGACCTGGGGTGCCTTGTTTAATTTGACTGTGAACTAGGGGTTTGTCACAATAAGAAAAATCTTTTTCCTAGTGATTTTGCAATTCTCATGCTCTGCTTCTGGTTATAGTTTGACCATACGAAACCAGTTCACGTAGTGTACTAATCCTTTATTCACGAAGATCACACAATGGTTGGTTTGTTTCTAGGCTTGCTAGTTGTGTCTATTGCTGGATCTGGATGTCATAGTTAACAATATTTGTCATTTGTTTTATGCTGCAGATGGTATTTTACTTATTGAAGTTGACCGAGTGTTGAGACCTGGTGGATACTTCGTCTGGACTTCACCACTTACCAATGCTCATCTTTCACTTCGCAACAAAAAGAATCAGAAAAAATGGGATTTTGTGTGTGCTTTTGCACAAAATCTCTGCTGGGATATGTTGTCGCAACAAGATGAAACTGTTGTCTGGAAAAAGACCACTAAAAGAAACTGCTATGTTTCTAGGTGGGATGGCCTTCATGATAAGTTTTGTTTTCTTTTTTTAGAACTAGTCATGTGTTATTTTTACTATGAGCATTAAGTTCATAGAAAATATATATAGATGGTCAAAAGACCAGGAAAGTGTTGGTGATCCTGATCTGTGTAATGAACTGCTTCTATGTATAGGAAACCTGGTTCTGGTCCTTCTATCTGCAGCAAGGGCCATGATTTTGAATCTCCATATTATCGACCACTCCAAGCATGCATTGGAGGAACACACAGTCACCGATGGATTCCTATTGAAGAAAGGGCAACCTGGCCTTCTAGGGCTAAACTAAATTCAAATGAACTTGCAATTTACGGTAAATCTGTTATACTCAAGATAAGCTTGATTGTGAAACTTATTGAAGAAGTGTGTAGATTGACATGCTGGCACCACAAATGAACACATGCCCAATAAGTTTTCTACCTTGTATGCATGTTACGTGCTAATGATTCCTATGTTTTATCAGGTCTACACTCAGAAGACCTTGTTGAGGATAACCTAAACTGGAAATCAGCAGTCCATAATTATTGGTCTCTGCTCTCACCGCTAATATTTTCAGATCATCCAAAGAGACCTGGTGATGAGGATCCTTCTCCACCTTTTAACATGCTCAGAAATGTGTTAGATATGAATGCCCATTTTGGTGGCTTCAATTCTGCTCTATTAGAAGCTGGAAAATCTGTGTGGGTCATGAATGTGGTCCCTACAAGTGGCTCCAACTACCTTCCATTAATCCTCGACAGGGGATTTGTTGGTGTGTTACATGACTGGTAAATCCTATGTTCCCTCTCAAGTGAAGAAATTTTTTTTCGTGTCCTGGGATGGGAATATCATTTTTGGTTTCACATTCTTTTGATGTAGAATTTGTAAGCATTAAGACCTGCCAATGTAAAATAATAAACATCAGCATGTTTGATGATCTCTGGGAGGTTTTATGGAAGCCCCATACTGCAGATAGAAAAGTCAATTGATGCACTCCCCATTAACTTGGTGACAGTGTTGTCAATTGTGCTTCGGACAGCACTGAGATGACGTGAAATATCAAAATTAGTCTGTTAACGCAAGGAGCATTCCAATAAATTCTTGGACAAAACTTGAGACGCAAAGGTGCAATGCATGTTGAAGGAAACGGGAAAAGGAAATGTAGATTATGAGAGCATAAACTTTTTAGAGACATTTCCAGTATTCTGCTTATGATTCAGTAATGAATCTGCACATTAGACTTGCAGGAAAAAAAAAAAAAAGAAGCAAAACCTCTGCACATTAGGTTAGTTATCTAAACAATCTAAAGTATTGAATGTGAGGTACTCAACAGCAAGTGAAATTGTTGAAATATGCGAGATCAATTCTGGTGTCACACACCTGTGAAAAGAAAATCAGAAACTATGTACAAGCCTCTGGTTTATCTTACATTTACTTTTGCCATACATCAATAGCTGGGTGACTTTCGTGCATATGGCATTGGTTCACCATTGTGCTTTTTCTGTTGTTCTGTGATTTGTATATCATTGTAATTATTCGTTTAGGTGTGAAGCATTTCCAACCTACCCTAGAACCTATGATCTGGTGCATGCTGAAGGACTCTTATCACTTGAAACTGGACGTTTATCACTTCAACTGGGTCAGAAGCGTAGGTGCACCATGCTAGATCTGTTCTCTGAGATTGATCGGATACTTCGTCCAGAGGTACTTTGACCTTCTTTTACTTTTTCTACATTTCTCATTTAATAGACATGCATTGATCTATGTATTCCAAAACATTAAAGGTAAGATGATTCCTGAGCAATTGATATCAGTTTGATCAAATAGATTTTGATGGCTGTTCTGCAAATGGAGCTATGAGGGGAAAAAAAATTGGTAGTCGAGTTTTGCGAAAATTAATGAAGTCTAATGGAAATGTAATACAACTTTGAGCTTTTATAAGGACCACTCAAGGAATTAATGTAGATGTTAACAAAATTAGTTTGTCACATGTAGGTCACAGTGCTTATATCCTGCATGCAACTAATTGTACCACAGGCTGTGACATAACTGGTTAAATGTAATATGCATACATTGTATAACTAAACCCATGTAAAACAAACATATTAAAATAAATAAAAAACGACGACATTGCATTGTGTGTTGACATCCAGCACGTTCTTGTCAGCTATAGGGCATGAAACAATGTCCTTATCCCACATGGGAATCCTTCGGATTTCCATTTTGTGCATCCCAACAAAGTGCTCTGTCATGTGTCCTCCAGTCCCATTGCAATGGCCATGTCTCCTTTCCCTCTTTGCATTAGGAGGGGAGTACAGGTTTCTTTCTCAGGGTCATTCCAAATGCCATAAACATGCTCTAACACTAAATGCCCGCTCATTTGTAGGAGCAGTGTCCAAGGAACCCAAACTAAGACTTGTCAAAGCCATAACTTGGGACCTGTAGTGTTGCTTTGCGATTCTCGGACCATTATCTAGTTACAGCTTCTGATATTGTTGAAACACATATTAGTATTATTTGGTATTATTATCATTTCATTCTTTGGTATTATTATCATTTCTAGCAAAAATAACTCTATGCACTTGCAAGGCTTATGCTCTTACATGCAAGGTTTTTCTGTGGAGCTCAGTTTTATGTTGTTTGCTATTGTATAGTATGGTGGCCTTACTGTATTCAGTTTTCTTCTTCTATCCTTGCTTTAAGTTTTTGCTAATCCAGATAGGGTTGGTGCAGGGGTGGGTGATATTACGAGACACTGTGTTTCACATCGAATCAGCAAGAGCTCTCACTGCACTGTTAAAATGGGATGCACGAGTTGTGGAGATCGAGCGTAACAGCGATGAGAAACTCCTGATCTGTCAGAAACCTTTCTCTAAGCGAGCAGCGAGCTAATTATAAAAAATTGCAAGGGAGGCAAGAATGGGAGATTAATTTAATATTCATATTCATTTTATGGATCTATATACTGATAATCATAAAGTTCCACCGTTTAAGGAAGGATGGAATTAAAAGTTTTGGACAGAAGAAGAAAGCAAGAGGTGAAGGAAACAAATGATTTTTGCATAGAAACCAGCATAACTCCTATGGAGCCGTAAGGCGAACATAGGGCCATGTAATTACTCAACTGAGGCTGAAGGTGAAAGGGAAGTGTGGAATACAACAAATACGATGAATTACTTGTGAAAATGTTTACACAATAAGCGACAACGATGTTTTCTGTAGTATATAGAATCTGTGAATTTGGAGGATTTTTTTAGAGACCAATTTGTTTGTTTATTTTTTACAGCAGAAAGCACCATTCAAACATTCATATTAATGTTCTTAATGTTGAAAATTGGTTCTTAAACGTCCTGCTTGTAGACTCTTCCTAGTCTGGCTTTAAGGTGGTTTCACTTGCTTGGAGTAGCTCTCTTGGAGAATTAGGACTTATCTGTTAAACAGGCACCACCAGAGCAAAGTAAAGTTCAACTACATCTTCGCTAATGATATTGGGACATAATTTTGAGACTTAATATATTATTACTATTGAATTGATAGTATTGGGACCCAGTAATATTTTAATGTTGAAACTCATTAAAAATTTAATGTTTACAATCATTAAGTCTTTAAATTATATTCTAATAGCGTTAGCATTGCTCTTAAATCTTACTAGGACTTATGTCTTCTATGGACTACCCTCATTTGATAAAGATAAGATTTACCAACACGGTATCAAGTGATTAGTGAAAAAATTGTTAGGAAGAGCGTCATATTATGACACTAGTTATTATCGTGCTTAAAGACACTGTGCAACTAAACAATTATTTAAATTTACACAAAGCTAGATATTTCTTAAGGCGTATGACTCCGCTCTGTTCCTTGAGATGTTATCCTCAATGCCCTTGAATTTTTTTGAATTTTTTTGAAATTTAGGTATAAGACAAATTGTAGCATATGTTCCAAACTCCTTTCCTTTCCGATGTAAATACAAGTCCATGAGCGTGAGGGCAATGAATCCAGGGAAGGGACCAGCAGGGAGCACGGCCTCACCTTGATTTTTTATTTTTTTTAAATTATTTATTTGACATCTGAACTATACCAATTGTGTTAATTAAGTTCTTGAACTATACTTTGTGTCAATTTATCCTCTTAACTATAACATTTGTGTTAATAAGATCTTTCCGACAAAATTGGTCGTTAAGTTCAACAAAATTTCTCTCGTGCATGACACGTGACCTTTAAATTATATCCTAATCTCTTACTTATGTGATGCGAACGTGAAGAATTTCATCAAAGTTAACCGCGATTTTGATGAAAGGGCCACATTAACATAAATGGTACAGTTCAAGACTAAATTGACACAAAACATAGTTTAGAGTTTGATTGACACAAATGATTTAGTTTAAAATAAAATAAATAATTTACTCTTTTTTTAAACATATATATGTCAATTAATTTTCAGGTCTATCTATATGTGACAACCATATTATTTTTTTATTCTATCAATTAGTATGATCAATAGGTAAAATGACTACACACTTCAAATAGGTTATGGACATATTTAGAAAAGTTGTTGACATGGGCTCAATTTTTCAAATTTTAGGTTACGAAAATTATGAAGACTTTGTTGCATAATCAAATTAGTGATCAATCATAAATCACTGATTACTTGTTAAAAAAAATATTTTTTATAGCATTGATATTTGACAGTGAAATTATCAATGCTTTTAAAAGTTTGGAAACTTGTCGGGGTTAATTATAAATAATTATAGTTAGCCTCATTTTTTTGTGAAGAATTTTTACTATTTTTTTTGTTTAGTTGCTTTTTGTTTATGTACAATGTACGTCGTTTGTATTAATAAATATTTAAATATCAAATATAATACAATAAATTCAAAATTAATTTAATTTTATCAATTACAGAAATAAAATTAAAATTTTCAGCTAAGGTGCAAAATATTTATATAGTATTTAAAATAACAAAAAGTCAGAGATAACAAACCGACCTTAGCTCAGTTGGTAGAGCGGAGGACTGTAGTGGGCTAAACTCCTAATGGACATCCTTAGGTCGCTGGTTCGAATCCGGCAGGTCGGACTTTTTTTTCTCACTCTCTCTCTCTGTATCTTCCCCTGCCCTCCACTGTACTCCGATACTCAAACCACCAACAATCCAAACAGCAAATTTCCAATGGCATTTTGGCACCGCCTCTTCACCACCATCAGCACCAAAACCAAACTACTATCTCCACCAAAAACCCTTCTCACCACCACTCTAACCCTCACGCACCTCTTAAACTCTAAGCCTAAACCCCATTTCCTCTCTCTCTTTACCTCCCACTTCTCAACCTCATTCCTCATCACCAAAACCCCCAAGAAACACAAGAAAAAACGTGATAAAAAACCCAGCCCAAGAACCAAGCTGGTCCAACATCAATCCAATCTCATTCCCCACTTCGAAAACATCCTCCTTCGCGATGCCCACTTCAGATTCCTCGTCAAAACCAAAGAATTCCTCGCCAAACAGCCCGAACATGTACTCCGCCTCGACGACGCCGGCAAACTCCACCGTGAATTGGGCTTCTCCCGCGGCCGGAAAGTCCTCCGCTTCATTCAACGCCACCCTTTAATTTTTGAAGCGTATAGGCACAGTGATGGTAAGTTCTGGTTCGGATTTACAGACTTTATGGAATCTTTGTTAGATCAAGAACGTAGAATTATGGATGAAATGGAAGAAAATAGAGTGGCCATTGTTAGGAAATTGTTAATGATGTCGGCAGAAAAAAGAATTCCCCTGAGCAAGATTTACCATAATAGGTTGTTATTTGGTATTCCGGAGGATTTCAGGGACAGGGTGGTGAAGTATCCGAATTTTTTCAAGATTGTGGTTGAGCATGACGGGAAAAGAGTCCTTGAGCTTTTGAATTGGGACCCTTTATTGTCTGTGAGTGCATTGGAGAGAGAGTTTATGGTTGATGAGGATAAAGTGAAAAAGGCCTTCAAGTTTCCGGTGAAGCATGGGAAGGCATTGGATTTGGACGAGGATGATGAAAGGAAGTTGAATTTGTTGAATACATTGCCATTGGTGTCGCCTTATTCGGATGGGAGTAAGTTGGATTTGTGGACTTTGGAGGCAGAGAAGTATAGGGTTGGGATGATTCATGAGTTCTTGAGCTTGACATTGGAGAAGAGGGCTTCCATACATCATATTGTGGAGTTTAAAGAAGAGTTGAGTCTTACTAAGCATACTTATCAGATGCTTTTGAAGCAGCCGAGAACATTTTACTTGGCTGGCACGGAAATGAATTGGGTTGTTTTCTTAAAGGATGCTTATGGGAAAGATGGTGAATTGATGAATAAGGATCCACTGGTAGAATTCAATGAGAAGTTGTGTAGATATGCAGATATGCAAGAGACGGAATCAGGAACTGAATTCAGTAAGAAATGAAATGGTCATTGAGAATTGAATGGTTTGCTCGATTATATTCGAGTGGGAGTTTCTGGACAACAGTTGCCAGATTGAAAGAGACAACAAACATCATTGAGCATACAAGGAGGGGCAGGGAAAAAAAAACGGAGTGAGGCAACATTACGATGTGCACATTTGAGGTATGGAAATTGATCTCTCACTTGTTATGTTTCTTATTGATGGATTTTGTTTTATGTGTTGTTGCTGGATTATGTTGATGTCTGCTATGGAAAACCTTGAAGCTGACTTTAAGAATCCGTTTCTAGTTAGAAAAGATGATATTGGGTTCTTTCTTTGAGTTACATTAAAGTTTATTTGTCTTGCTTCTGGGTTGTATGAAATCATTGTGGTTGCAATTTCTAAGGATTAGGAGTAAATATTTATCTTATGAAAATATTTAATTTAAATGTGCGATAGCACGTGATCAAAAAGAATAGCGAAGACGGACTCGTATAGTTGATCCCAAATGATTAAAACATAAGGCTTTGTTTGGCTTGGATAGGAGTAAATATTTATCTAGATGCCTGCTGAAACCTGCAGAGACTACTAATTTTTCAATAAGTTGTTTTGTCTTTATTTTAGTTAACTTTGATATCTTCGCGGCTCTCTGTTCAACTAATTATTGCAAATGGGAAAACTTAGGACTGAGATGCAACTGAACCAGTGTCATTCTTTTTGAAAGCACAGCATCTTGTTACTAGGAACATTGGTTTGCTGCAATGATCTTTTTACTTGTCAACCTGAGATTCATGAGTAGTGATTATGAGCGTTTACTGTCAACATCTGCAGATAGTCATATTACCAATGAACTTCTCAAGCCATGGGATACGTTATGTAGGTGTACGTGTGGGAATACTTTTTTGCATGTGCGTGCGCATGCACGGGTGTGAGCAAATCCGTACATGTGTGTACCAGAGAGAGAGAGATTGTGGATAACTGCATACAAACATGACATGGTGAATATGGTGCGGACTTCTTGAAGTAGTTCATGACTTTGTCGTGCTTTGAACAGATTAAGCCAGGATGACATCCTGTGGGGAATAAACATGGGTACTGTAGTGTACTGTAGAGAGAGTTTTCTGGGGTCAGACACTCAGAGGGGGCCAGGCTCCTGCCAATGGATAATACGTATGGGTCCACTTTACATTGCCACTTGGCTTTCATAATTGTAAAAGCGATGGTGCCATGCTACTTCATCTAGCCCATTGCTGGCAAAAACAATCATGTATTGCTTAAGACTTAACAAGATTACCCGTTAGACCTTTTTGAAGAAGGTCTGGGAGAGTCAGAGAGAGTGACAGAGACAGAGACTGTGATACTTGGATATTCTGTGCTAGAATTGTATAAGATAAGAGCAGTTTCCTTTCTTCTTGGTATCTATATGTACATGTATGGCTGTGGGTGTGCGATGTTAATGCCTCTGGGACAAAATATCCTTACATTCACCTTTAACCAATCATAAATCTACTATTGAAGTGTTATTTTGTGATTTTAATCTCAAATTTATCATCACCTTTTTTGGGGGATCAGACACATATAAAGCTGTATCTGAAATAAATGATGAGATAAATTTATCAGCACAATATTGTTCACGATAAAAATGTCTGCTTTTGATGTCTTTGCAAGTTGGGGAATTCTGAGAGTAGATTATGTGTTACTCTTTACTAATAATATTGCTGCAAATGCTCAAAAGTTTTAAGTAAATTTTATGCTGAGTGGAATTCTATTTCTCCTCTCTTTTGGCTGCAAAAAACACAAATGGTAACTTTGAGGAAGAGCAGAGGCTGAATCCCTAATTTTTAGCGCTAGAATTTTTGTAACTGCAAAAGAATAGGATCAGAGTCCACCCATTGGTATTTTCTGATCTATGTAATTAATTTCCTTTCGACTATTTTAAACCTAGTTTTCAATTCCGTATCGAAATTATTACCTATTGCAGGATCATTAACTTTCCTTGCAGATTCAATTCCTTATCTAAATCATTACCCATTGATCTGAAGTTTCCTAACACAAGAAGATACAGGCAAGACTGTCTATCAATTAGTTTTTAGATGTCATTTCTCATTTAACCAGAAGTTTATAGCTGGATTAGTAATTTTGATGCTCTTGGTATAGTGGCAGTGGATGATTTTTGCATGCATAGTGTCATTTGTGATGCTACTGCAATGGTGTAGTACGCTTTTATTGCTGGTCACAAAGTAGAGGGGTTTCTTAGATGTGCCTCCGAGCTTCCAAACCCAGTGATAGAGGAAGCAGTCACAAAGAATTAAGGATGAAGGTGGTGAAGAGGATTTAGTTTACAGTTCAGTCGGATTCCTTGGGCTCCCTCTTTAGTTCACTGTATAGTGTGCCCAAAGCAGGAGGAAAAGTTTGAATCGGAAAGCTTCATGGAGTTGGATATTTAGGTTTTTTGAGGAGTCATATTCAGCATCCAAAGTTCTGTATAAAGTGGTCTTCTATGTGCCCACTGCAGCCTTAGGTCCATTTCTGTCCATGGACAATCTGGAGCTAGTGTCACATATTGCAGATGAGCTGAATAGACAGTCAAATCATTATTTGGTCCACCTTTTTCCTTCTGTCCTGTTCACTTTGTGTGTACATTTGTTGCGCTTCTCAGTGCCTTATTTCCTTAACAAAGAAGAATTAATACAGAAAGGAGAGACACAATAGTTGAACAATGTCTCCTAGGATTTAGGGAACAATCAGCTTCTTGCAGTATATTATGCTGTTGTCAGGTGTCACAAACTGTAACCTTACAATTTAATTCTATAGGAGTCAAACCCATATTATCTCTTTTTAAACAATACATATCTTCCCAACAAAATAAATCTGATGAGAGCGACTTAACACTCAAGAATTGCTCATGCAAGAAAACTTCTGCTTTAATGCCCTTCACTGCAGGAGTTTCTTTTCACCGATAAAAGTATATGATCAGATTTTTTCTCCTTTGATAGCTGAGCATTATATGCAGTCACGCATATTAACTGTTAGTTGAGTTCTGCAATAAGTATCTAATCTTATCAAGTCACAGTCACATTAGTGACTAACATTCGTTTTACAAGTGTATGCTACGTTACAAGTCTTTGTCAACCCCATTTCTATGGCTGGGCAAATGATATACATACAGCTTCCTGGAGATGTAGTTTCAGCTGTATAATATTGGAGTTCCTATCTTCAGGGTTAGTTACTGCTACTTTTGGAAACAGTTAATTGTTTATGGTATGCCTCCGCCACTGTGAACCCTGTCTTTAAATTCCTCACAAATTTCTGCCAATTTTTAAAAACAGTAGCTTTTACAATGTAAGATGATGCAGTCATGATAAATTCACTTTGTTTATTGGTTTTGAGATGCCACATCATGTCAAATTCATATCTGATCTGGTGTTTTTTGGAGGACCATGCAAATGAGCTTTAACAACAGAACTATCTGGCAGCAGTATGATTCTGCTTGTTCAATGTTTTTCCTCTTGGAGCTCTTGCTGTCTTTTTTATTTATCATAGATTAAATTCTTGGTCGTCTCTTATAATGGTGCCCCTTTTTTGACTCCTAAATGCAGCGCCTACAGAGATCAAAATCTGGTTCAAAGGATCACATGAAGCTGTGATACAATACCAATTATGGGGTCAGAACTTCAAAGTTGCATCCTCTCTTGCTTTATAAGTTTGTGATTTCTTTTCCCATCCCGAGTGTGGAACTTGGTGCTAAATGCTTCTCTTGTATTCTTTTCCTGCCCTACTTCTTTCATCGGTTTTGTTTTCCTGTCAAGTGAGATATAAAAACATTGCTCTTTGATACGTTTTCATGTCTTGCAAGTTTTTTCTATAAATGAGGACAAGCAGTTTACAGTTTCAGCTTATTTTTACCTGCACAAGTACATATGACCTGAAACTCTTATTGCATTTCTCGAAATATCTGGAATGAAGTCACCCAGTCATCCCAAGACCCATCCCCCGGAGAATACAACTACTTCACATTAGAGTGCCGTAGGAATTTCAATTGGCTTACCGAAGCCGGAGTAGTCAGCCCATAGTTATTAGAATTCACTAAATTACTGACAACTCACGATCTGAGTATGTTGATCCCAAATAGGGTGGATTCGCGATCTAAATCACCAAAAAATGTACGATCCCAAATTCTAATACCAACCTTAAACCAATTCGCAATACATATTAATTGACTATATGTTTATAAATTTATAATCATGTATTGTTTTTTATAATAATCAATATGTAAGATAAATAGTAACTGATTTAGTGTTTATAGATATTATATGATATATAATGTTGTATAATAGTGAAAATAATTTGCATAAGAGTTCCAAAATATATTGTGACCTAAAATACTGTACTAGTTAAGTTTACTTCCATTCCTTCGTACTGCATACATAAGAAAATATTGTACCGCATACTATTATCCGTACTATGTACCAAAGAGACCCATGATCCAGGTAACATTGAGCAAGCCTAGCTTGAAAACAAACAATTAAATGAAAGTGAAAACAAATAAAGACCACTTCCAAAACAGAACCAACAAAAGCATTCATAACACTGCATTGTACCCTGCCAATAGGAAAAAAAAAATTGAAACACTGAAGCCACAAATCCCTAGCTTGCAGCAACCATACAATGTGTTTACAAGAAGTAAAAACAGAGGAAGAAAAAAACACATCTAAGACTTGATCTTCAGGGGAGAGTGGTGATGAGTTTGAGATTGGCTTCTTGACTTGTGCCTGCTTCTTTGTGCAACACTTCCACTGCTCCTATGCACACTTAAGGAAGATGATCCACCTTGGCTCACCCTCTTCACGGCTTTTCTACGGCTGCTCCGACTGCCGTTCCCAAGTGCAGCTTTGGTAATGGCTTCTGTGGCCACCTCTCGTGCTTTCTGTGGATTGATGGGCTGTTTGTTCAGGTAAGCTAGTTTTGGGAGAAGACTACAAACTGCCTTGCGCAACTGATCTTCACTTATGTTGCTTTGGATTGGATTCCCCAAGAGATTCAGAGCTTGCAGAGAGTTGTAGTTTGCCACAAGTTGGCCTAGCGCTTTTGATGTGGTTATCTTATTGAAGCTCAAGTCCACGATTGTCAGCTTCATAAGCCTATGAAGCCCCTCAACATCACTGATCTTGTTTCCAGCAAGATAGAGTTCCTTGATGAGTGTACAGTTTGACAGCCCTGATACAATCAAGTCAGAACACATTAGTTATGTGAAAAACCATCGAGGAGGGTAAGTTTTTTGGATATCTTTTTCAGGTAAGTCAAAATGAGATTAAATGCAAGGTCAAAGGTAACTAAAGATATTTACCCTGCCCAATTCTAGAGATTCGGTTGTAACTGAGATCGACCACCCGCAACCGAGTTAGTTCTCTGAGGCCTTCGATTGCGCTAATCTTGTTTCTAGACAAGTTGAGAGTGTGAAGACCCTTTGGCAGAGACCCTGGAGTTATATGAACTGCAATTTGGGGGTGGAAAAGGGAGGGGAGGTAGTTTTGGTGAGCAATCTACTTAATATTTTCCATATTCTTAATCACTTTTTAACAGCTACAGGGTTGATTACAGACCTATTAAGTTGCCTGATAAGTTGATAGAGCGAAGACTAGAGAAGCGTGCAATTGTGGGGATGACTTTTAACCCAATACCCGAGATGTGAGCCACAGTTGATGAAGAATTCAAAGACTGGATGGCACTGTTGGCCTGTAGAATTTCCTCTGTAACATTCATAGTTGGATACCGGGATGAAAGACTTGTGCTTCTTTCAGGCAATTTGCCGGCATCAGGAGAGGGTGGGAAGGCAATTCCATCGTCCATGGGGTCTTCATCATCAACATAGAGTGGAGGTTGGTTTGAAAGCTCTTTGACCCACTCATCCACTCTAGTCAATGTAGACGATTCTGCAGAGAAAGCAACCCACTGGTTCTGCGGCCACAAACCAGAGTCTCCATGGAAATCACCCCATTTACGGTGATCATTGTTGCTGCTGCCTTTATTAAAGGATTCCCCAGTAAATGAACCCGGGTCTACCAGCTTACCCAGCTTGATACCTCTTCTTGGTTCTAGAGTGTCTGAAGAGTACCCACCTTGCTGGTTGAGAGGAGGTTTGATTGGAAGTGGTTGTGGTTTTACAGTCCATGAACTGTGCAGGTTCCTGTGGCTCCAGAGGAACAATTTCCACCATAGTCGTCTACTTCTAGAGGGTAGTATTTGACTCGAGGAATGCTTCTTCAACATCACTCTGTCAGCACTGCAATGGGTCATTACAGAAACAGGACTTCCAAGATAGGGCGGAAGAACTTCCTTCCTGGTCCTCTCAGCTAATTTTTGCATATCTTCAAAAGATTCAGACTTTGGCAAAGGCAACTGATCGGCTATCTTCTTGAACATATCCCATGTTTCCAGATCAGAGCAAGAGCGCTTAAGCTTTGGAGAAGCCCAAAACTCAGCTTTCCCAATACCCGGATCGCTAATATGGCCAGTATTTAGCAAGTCAAGGCCCTCCTCAGCATCTTTCTCTGTATTTTCCTCAAATTGCTCCTTCATCTCAGAATCAACCAAGTTATGAAAAATCATATCTTTATCAAGTGAGTGATCATTTTCCTCATTTGAGTTGCCAACATGGGATTGAAGATCGGAATCAGAATTTTCTCTCTTCATTGATAACTTCTCATCATGTTCATCTCCCCCTTCATAAGCCACCTCTTCAACTTCCCCTCCAACAGGACTTTCATGGCTCATTACCTTGACCTTGTACCTAGAACTCCCTGGAATAGCAAAAGGTACAGGGACACTGAATGAAGTTGATTTCAACTCATGGGTCTCAGAAGATTTCACCGGGCGTTCAATTCTCACTTGCAAGGTTTTGAGACCCTTGTTGAACTGAATAGCTTTTGAAGGCACCTTATCATCCTACGAATACCCAAGGAGGTAAAGAAAGTTAGAAAACAGAAACAGCAAATCTTTTAACTCCAAATCAATGAAAATCGATGAACGCAAATGTATTTGATTGAGTGATTCTCACCTTATTCTTCTTCTTGATCCCAACAAATGCACAAAAACAGTTGAAGTTTGTCATCGTAAATAACAGTTTCACTTAAAATCCTCCAAATATGAGAAATCCAAAGCAGCACTTCTTGTTTTCCTTTTTCCTCCTCCACTTATCCCTTTATCCCCACCCACAACTCTATTCAAATGAAGCAAAAGAAAACAGAACTTTTAAGCTGACTACAGAGTGAAATCTTGAGAACCAGAGTTCACATAGAACCAGAATTAGCCGTAATCAATGGGCAACCACCAAAGTAATGACAGAACCCAATCGGAGAAGTATAACGACAAAAGATAATCTGAAACTGAAGCTTCAAGGCCTTTTACCCTTGCACTCGCCTTAGCCCATTTCAAGGAGAAAGAAGATGTCAACAAAGTGTAGGCCAGAGTGATATATACAGCAGCTTCTCACCAGAAGCTTCACCAAAACATTTCCTGCACATATTAATATAGACACGCACAATAAATAAATAAACACAACCCGTTTGCCAAAATTCCAGAACCACATAAAAAAACTAGAGTGACTTTTAGTCTGTATATAAAACTTCCACACAAAAAATTCAGCTGAATATGGATATTCTTCGAGGACCAAAAGAAACATTGGAGAGGAATTTAAGGTAAAGTTAACCCAAATCGTCAGACATAGATCCCTGATCTCAGTTATGTTCAATGTAGAAACCCTTTCTTGGGCACTAATATAGAGACGAATTTAGAAGAAACTAATGCAAAACGTGGTGGGTATTGATTTACCTAATGAAGCAAAAGTTTGCCAGATTGATAGACCCAATTCTACACTTGCAAAGTCGTATTTTTTCGGCTTCAAACCCGGTCAGATCAAAAACAAGAACACCGAAGTTTGTGTGTAGCTCATAGAAAGAGAGACGGTGGTTAAGAGCTTGGTGGGAGGTGTGAGAGAGAGACGGTGGTTGAGAACGGCGTGGGAGGGGAGGGGAGGGGAGGGAAGGGAGAGAGAGAGAAGAGAGAGACGGTGGTTAAGAGCGTGATGGGGGTGAGGGTGGAATGGAGTAGAAATAATTACGGAGGGGATATGTAGGAAGGTATATACGCGCATGGAACACGGCCTCAGCTTGTACCTGCTAATATATCTGAGATAGTCCATGCTCTATGCATAAATTATTGACATATTATAATTGGTTGGGGGAGTGAAAGTCTAGTTGGGTGAAATTTCCCTATTATCTAAAATCATGGACAAACCTTAACATTAAATTGTCAAGAAACTCAATTAAAAAAATGAAAAAATTGTCAAGAATAATCCACGCTTATGCTCTTTCATAAGAGTGATGAAAAATTAAAAAAATAGATTTTTCATCTTTAGAGGATGGAAAAATACTTTTTCTTCATTTTGTTTGCTTCAATGAATGAAAAGTTTGAAGAATTATTTTTTTATTGTTTGGAATTGAAGGAAAAGTGGAAGAAAAGAAAAGATATATATACATATAAATAATTTATAATTATACTCTTACTTATAAAAAAATAATTTTTTTTATTATAAATATTCAAGGTTTGAAATTGTTCAATGTCACTTTAATTAGTTATAAAAACAAATATATATACTAAAAATAATTTCCAAAAAATATACATATAAAAATATATGTGATAAGATATTTTGAAGTATTTTTTGAGAACCGTGCAAGTTTTGAATTGGAATTGTGACATGATATTTAAAAGTATTAGGGATAATTCATGTCTAAAGGTACGGTGTAATGTGAATGATTTAAGAGAGATGTTAGTGACTATTGAATGAGTTTATTTGAGACCGTCGGATGACCTTGTTGAAATCTGCTCTATTTTGTATTATAGATATTTAAAAGCAGAAAAGTTAATTTTTGTTCAAAAAGTAACTTATCTTCAATTTTCCTCGCTTACCTCCCCCTTTAGGGAGAAAAAGAAATGGTGGGCTAGAAAGAATACTTTCCCTCCAACTTTTCTTTCCCTTATATTTTTCTTTGGAACTAAACAACGAAAAATGTTTCTTTCCATCGCAATTTTCTTCTCCTATTTTCCATTAAACCAAAAACACTATTAATAAAGGTGTGCAATGCACCACATTTGTAAAGTTTAGCTGTTAGAACTCCAGGTTGTGTATAGAAAAAACTTTGGCACATGCAGTACCCAACACTTGAAAAATAAGTTACAATTAATAAAATCTAAAAATTTTGTATCAGCCCTAACAAGTTAGGATCAATCAAGTTATTTAGATGGACCCCAAATTAACAGATTTGATCAATTTGAATTGTAATTATTTAATTTGATTGGATTGTAATTTTTTGCATGGTATGATATTTTTATTTTTAGATTCCATGAAAAAATCCCTCAACACCTCGTAATTATGATGCAGCTAGTGTAAAATATTTCTATTTCACAAATGACATGTGTCATCTTACAACAATTTTTGTATTTATTCTTCGTGGAACGATAAAAAAAAAAAAGGAAAAAAAATAATGCGGATTTTATAAGGGTGGTCTAGAAAGGGAGCACGCAACTTTACATTATGTACCACGTGTTGCTTACTGCAAGTACGTGGTACCATTTATCAAAGAACTGCTATGCTGTCTAAATTATAACTCAGTTCTCGATCTAAATGCATGTGCACCTCACACACACACATATATATATATATATATATATTATTTGTGGGTCCCAAAAAATCAGTTCTTTCATCCGATGTACAATGCACATGCATATCGACGAAAGATTTGGATTTGAATTTTGATTTAGATAACATATAATTTTTCTTCCAGATGTAATAAGATCGAGAAAATATTTAATAATGATATGTATACCATTTTATCTATAGCAATATTATACTGATTAAGATTTCTTATCAATTTTTTATCCCAGGTAATATGACAAAGTTTTTAACATTAAATAAGTGAGTCTCGTTTATATTTATTTAATAATAAACATTGTTTTACATCACTTAAGATATAAAACTTGATAAATATAATATTATTGTTTTATCTTATACCATTTAATGTGTCTTGATGTCAACTCAACGAAATTCACTAATTTAATGATTTTATTGTTTTTGAACTTTTGACTAAGATAAAGTGTACTATCTGTTTTATAAGTATTAGATATTAAATTGATAAGAATAAATATTACACTTGATCTTTTGAGAAAGTTATAACCATTAAATATTTATTGAATTTAATAAATATTTAATGGTTTATATTGAGGTGGTGAATAAAAATAATTCACAAAAATGGTGTGTGTAATAGCATTGTTGATATTTACATGCTCGAAAAGTACCACTTGACACTTTTAGGTGGTCTAAGCCCTTCCTGACGTAAAGGTTTTAATTTTCAAAGGCTTAACTTGACGGGCTTTAAGTCAATCAATATCTATTTTCCACGCCACCTTCAAGTTGAATAGTCGTGTAAATAAATAGATCTTTCTTAGAGGTAAGTAAATGACTCATTCTGACCTTCCGCTCTAGTAGCTTCTCTCTCTTTTAGTAGGAAATAGACAAGTCTCACTCTTACTTTTAATAGGAATCCAAATACGAATATTTATCTTCATAGGGAATTAATTCGGATGGGTTAACAGATCAATTTAACACAAATTATAAAATCTTCTATCAAAGTTTACCATGGACACATACTCAATGTTGCTCGAGTTCAATTTTTTTAACTTAATTAAAATTCGAGTTACCTTGTTAAAATTGAAATTAGGTTCAATTCTCTAATTAAAATTTTAATTCGATATTTAGACAAAAAAATTCGTGGTGAAATTAGGTGGAGCTAAAGTTTCAATACCTTAATTCATTCAACCATTATATTGAGAAGGAGATTACCGTATAAAAAAAAATTCAATATCGTACAAACATGTAAATGTTTTTTTGAATTTCTTCTTTTACAAATTCAAAAGTTTTTTATAAATTTTGGGAACTATTTAAAAAAATTTATAATTTTTGTGAATTATTTATAACTTTTAGACTACTTGGTATTAATTTTAAAATACTAGGATTGATTTGAAGTATCTCAAAAGTGGCGAAAAATTCTCAAAAAAGTTACAACTTGAATCGTATAAATTATAATATGACCTAAAAAATTATAATGTTTTATTATAAGTAAACTCAACAATTTATCTCCCATAGACTTATAAAATTCAGCGGTACGAATTTTTATTTATTTATGTTTTAACTCACGGAATCGATTTGTCCAAATTAAACGGTAATCTTCCGTACCCCTTTATTTGTCGGAATGCTTCTGGGGGTCCGCAGCACATGGCTTAGGTTAAAATTGCCCACCGTTCCATGTGGTCATGTGTACGTCCTCGTCGATGTCGTCTACGACTCGATCTTTCCACTAGACCTCCGTCCGGTGAACAATCCAACGGTAAACGACAAAGGAGGACGGTTAACGTACAAAAATGTTTAAATGTATCAGCAATACTACATTATGAAATGTTACTGAAAGCGATGTGAATTAGGATTGGGTGGTACATGTTAAAGGACAGTTGTTTTGTTGGGTTGCGTTTTGGTTGTGCTCTGGGTCCACGTCGATTATAATACTGTCCCACGAAAATAATATAGCTAGCAATGTCACAATGAACTGTCATAATCAATAATTAATGGGGAGATTTTTTTTCAGTTAATTCTCCTTTTATAGTTTTTTTAAAAAAAAAAAAAAAGTTTACCCACATATAATAATTTTAAAATTATTTTTTGAATTATTTAATTTTATTTGTTGAAATTATTTTAAAACAAAATTTAAAAGCTTTTCATTAAAAATGGTATTTTGAAAACATGCTTTTGATGAGAAATTTCTAAAATACTCCAAGATGAAGACACGTGTCCTCGGTGTCACTAAATTTTTGTTACTGTGATCACGACACGTACCCGTCGGTTCACAAGTCCCTCTCCCCCGAGGTATTGGTCGTAGGGATCAATGACATCCAGTACGTTTACGTATCGACAAGGATCCCTCGGTCGGGGTGATATGATACATCGGCCCCTATATGTACCTCCCTCTCGGCTCCGAGATGTACCTCCCCCTCGGTTCCGAGATGTACCGTCCAAAATGACATTCTCTGCTCCCGTAGAGACTATTGATGTACAGGTCACTAGCCTAGGCTAGACTAGATTAGCCATCATGATTTCGTCTTACACAATTAGTGTCAGAAGGCACAGGAAGGCAGAAGATGCAGCCAATGAGGAAGGGGCACGTGGCATATTATGTCACATCAGAGACAAAAAGACCGGATGTCCTTGCTGACACACAACTTGGAAAAACAAGCATTTAATTAAGTCATTCCCTTGATGAGACAACATTTAATGCGGTAAGGCTCAGAAGAGAAAATCAATAAATGTCCCTGATACTGGGCATTTATTACTCTCTTGCCGTAAAGAGCTCATTAAATATTCGGCAGGCCGATGACGACGCGTTGATTGCTCGGGGTCCCGAGCAATTAAGAGAGAAGACATTCCTCATAGAAATCAGTGCGCACGTTGCCTGTACCTAATGATCACCTACTGACCACGCTGACAACAATCATGAGTTTTTGAGGTATAAATACTCCTCGCAAAAGGCAAGACGGTACGCAACAAAAAACCTTTCCAAAAACCTATACTCAGTGTTTTCTTCTTCCCCCCTCTTAAATACTAACTTGATTGTCGGAGGGGATACGCCGAAAAATACTCCGGCGCCCTTCTAACTTGCTTTTCTTTGTTCTAGGAACCTTCCTCAACCTTACTGGATCGCTCCGTTGATCCACGTGACTCTTCCATTATCGTTCCAGGTTACCACAGGACCTCACAGACTGTTCCAATAGCAAGGTTGGTCATTTGATCGACTGACTCGAGTTCACCACGGAAGAGATCTGTTCTCGTATTTATATTATGTAAGATCCTGCACACACAATCTGGCGCCGTCTGTGGGAAACGACTAGTTCTCCTAGTTTTTTCTCTGTAAAGAACAATGACCGTGGTAAATACTCGACAAAAAGGGAAAGGTCCCCAGCAAAAGAGTCTTGAATTACGAGCTTCATGTCATGATAGAGGAAGGGATCACACTGATGGGAATAGAAATGTCTCTATTCAGTCAAGAGGGCACACTCCTCAGACCAGTATGGGCATCAGGTCAGGAGGAATCGCCCCCTTGGCTCGCCAACTAGC